AAATATGAACACAGATGGAGTTCGGGGGAAATAGACCTTGACATTTGGGAGTTGTAGTTACTGGGATTTATAATTCACCTACAATCAAAGAGTGTTCTGAACCCCATCAATGACAGAATTGGGCCAATCTTCCCACACAGAACCCCCATGACCAACAGAAAATACTCAAGGCTATCCAATCCAACTACCTTCACCAGGGCAAGCACACACACACACAGATGTAGTATCATAGATTTGAAAGGGACCCCTGAAGAAGGACAATTATATGTTGCATGTTCTAGAGTAGGCGAACCAGACACTCTCCACATCAACACTGACAAAGAAACAAGAAATACTGTTCACCCACAAGCTAAAAAAATTACATATATTAGAAACCAACACTTTCTCATTACTTTATTTTCCAGATCAACAGACTGGGCCACAGCAACACGTGGCAGGGGACTGCTAGTTATATATAAAACAGTAACAACAACTCAAACTGCTCATAAGAAAAAAAATGGGCCCATAAGTAGACTCAATTTACCAAACATTAAATTGTACTTTTAAAGTGATACAATTGAAAATGCTTGACCCTCTAATACAGAAAACCATGTGGGAACTCTTCTACTATCTGCAAGACTGAGCTCTTTTATGAATAATTCATAGAAAAAAATCATTCTTTTTGATTGCATGGGCAGGTATTTTATTAAACCTACGAACGTCTCCCGCCTTCATCTTTCTCAGAATATACCTCTGATAAATATGTATCATTGTGCCACAAAGTGAATTTCATCTCCCTACCCAAATATTTCATTTACTCACATCAGCCCCCAGATTCTAAAAATCTATAGTGTGACAGCTAGCTTTGAATATTTTTCCCAGTCTAGTATCCCACCGATTATAAAGTTATCTATGGCTTAAAATATTGCCCATTTCTAAATCCCATTGACTTCAATGTATAGTTCAATCCCTCTCAATGAAACTATTAATTGGAATCTGTTGCACATAAACTCACATCAGGCGGCAGGATAGACACTGAGAAATGAAACAAAAAGTCTTGGGAAAACTGGTTCAAATTCATTTGTTCTATGAAGGAGAATATCAAAGAACTTCACCGTTACACTCATGCTAGAACCATTGTTTCAAAAAGCCATGTTGTGTCAACTCGGACTTCAGTTTATGACCCCCTAAATCTATCTATTTATTTATTTATTTATTTATTTACTTCATTTGTTGACCGCCGCTCTCAGCCCTGGGGCGACTCGCGGCGGTGTACAACATATAAAAAAACAGTTTACAAAAAGCACACAATATATCAACATCACCATATTACACATTAATATAAATCACACTAACAAATCCGCACCGTCACAGCATAGAATCATAGCCAGTCTCATAATCCATAATCCGTTCCCGTTGTCATTACCAGGTTCGTGTAGCTCTCAATTAAATGCCTTCGCGAATAGCCAGGTCTTTAGGCTCTTACGGAAAGCCATAAGGGAGGGCGCCTGTCTGATGTCAACAGGGAGGGTGTTCCACAGCCGGGGGGCCACCACTGAGAAGGCCCTCTCTCTCGTCCCCGCCAGACGTGCCTGTGAGGCAGGCGGGATCGAGAGAAGGGCCTCCCCAGACGATCTCAAGGCCCTCGTGGGCTCATAGGCCGAGATGCGGTCCGAAAGGTATTTTGGGCCACCTAAATCTACCACCTAAAGCAACCTTGTCCACACTACTATAGGCATCTCTAATACTGGGGGACATTCCAATGTGGCAGCTTAGTGCCAATTTAAACATAGGTTGAAAAATAACTTAGGCCTGATAGGAAGAAGAGGAAGCATGACTTAGGACTAGCCTACACTTGTAAAAAATAAATTCCCTGAACTCAGATGGAATGGAAGGCTGGCTGTCTTCATGATGCACAGCTACTTCTAGTGAGAATTCTGTTGTTGCTGCTGCTGTTGTTCATTTTTTAAAAACCAATTTGTCCCACTAAGGGCAATGTTCTGAAGTTTGTAGGAAATGCTGGAATCCTCTTGTCACTTTGGGCTAGTCTGGACAACTAGATCAGGTCTGATTCAGCCTGATTCGCTGGACACCAGCATTATCATCTTTCCATGAACTGATGGTACAGGGAAAGAGGGTGGATCATGGCTGTGACACAACTGCTGCCATGGATCTCCATGCATGGGTGCCTCTGCTGACATCAGAATCAGATGTCAACACAACTGGAATGATGGCAAGTTGGCAATCCCCATCTTTCTTCTCGGCTTGCGGGGGGTGGGGGTGGAGTGGGGCAGGGACTGTTCTGATATTGGTAGAGATACCTGCATGGCCAGGTAATCTGCCCTCCTTCATCCCTCTCCTTCATGCTGGTCACATGAACTCCCCATTCTTATATCAGCAGAGTTCCTGCTCTGTGGCCAGCTAGGATGGTGGCGGCAATGGTAGCAATAACAGAGCACATGGTTATCATTCAGGAACATAAATATATTCTACAGAAAGCTTTTAAAAATAATTCCTGCTTATGCAAAAGGTACATAACATATTAGCATGACACTATGTGAGCAAAATACACCAATAGATTGTCATGCATTTGAATTTTACCATAACAAACATTGCAATTGTAACCATCTGACTTCTGTCAACAGATTAGCATCTAGAAGTGCAGTAGATAAGGTTTACTTAGCCTGAAATCTTTTCAGCAGTTACATGATTTCCAAGTTTTGAAATTATAACGTACTGATATACATAACAATGGAGGAATAGCAAGGTTATTTAAATATATTCAAGTAATCATGTTTCACATTTATCCTAAACTATTTGGGGACAGGTCCTG